CTCTTGCAAAATTGGAAACCATCACTGAAAGTTTTCATTTCCTCTAAAGCTATCAATACAAACTTAAGACAGAGACGGCCAGTTCATGTCAATTCATGATCTAGCCAGCAATCCAAGCTAAGTAAACCATTTGCCTATTATTGGTAAAATTGTAACTTAAAGAAAAAAGGTTTTAAGTTGTAAATAATTTAGAGATTTCATACTTTTTGAAATGTTTTTGAATTACTTCTGTGCATAAGTTACAAAATCATGGTCCTGAAAACAGCACCCTCTTTTTCATTACTTAGAGTGGTAGTTTATGTGGGGTGTAATTTAAGTTTCCAGGGTTTAAATCTTTTAAAGGAAACTTAAATATACAAAGATGAAGGATAAACCTGTTAGAGTCTGTCTTTCATTAGCAGAATAGCAGAAATGTGGCCCTGGATATTTTTATCTAAACTTGCTCTCTTAAAGAATGAAGACTGACTCAGAAAGACAACAAAACTATAGTTTGTAGTTTAAAAACAACAATAATGGCTTCAATAAATAATTACATAACAAAACTAAACCACAATCTAACTAAAGTTAGTTATATATAGCAGGAAGTCTGAGAGAAATATATGACTAGCAGTCAGGCTAGAGATACATACTAACTGTAAGACTAACAGTTTAAATCTTGAGACAGAGACAGTCGTAGGGCCTTTGCAGACTGCCAGAAATAGTGCAAATTGAGTCCACTTTAACTGCCCTGACTCAGTGCTAGGGAATCATGGGAACTGTATTTTTTTCTGAGACATTGAGCCTTCTCTGTCAGAGAGCTCTGGTGCCACAATAAACTACAGTTCCCATGGTTCCCTAGCACTAAGCCAGGTCAGCTAAAGTGGACTCAATTTGCACTATTTCTGGCAGTCTGCAAAGGCCCTTAGAGAGAGACTTAAATATCTATATAATGAGAGGAAAGAGAATGCATAAGTTTCTTCCAACAGTTTGCATGCCCAAATTCTCATTTTGCCCCTGGGTGTGTTAAGATTTTTATAGGGATGTAAATTCTCAGCTATTTCATCATTAATGAATAATTAAAGTAGGGTTTTTTTCTCACCATGGACGAAAACAAATGTTCCTCCACAGTGTTCTCCTCATATTTGAAAATCCCAAAATGTTGCATAGGAACATTCTGCAGAGAGAAAGTATGTTCTTGCACACACAAAAACCTTTTTTCTGGGCAGAAAACAGGGTTCTTGTATAAGAAAATACAATTTTTTTCTATGCAGACTAATTCGTACATAATACTTCAGGATATTGAATACCATTCCTGACTGTTAAGAAATCTATTTTTTAGGCAGCAAACAAATGATTGTGAATATTCTTTCCATTCCAGTAAGAGAATGGAGTGGTTGAAGAATACAGGCTCACCATCCCAAGTTTTTACAACACAATCCTATACATCTTTAGTGAGTACTAATTCCCACCATCTTCAGTGGGGCTTATTCTCTAGTCTAGTAAGAGGGTTTTGTTTTTTTGTTTTTTGTGTTGTTGTTTTTTTCAGTTCAGCCTACACTGCTGAGAACCTCAACCTATTTATTTCAGTGGAACTCAGTCCTAGGAAAGTGGAAACCTTTTTGTATACTTTTTATGGCACTATACTCATTCTAATGAATTATTTATCATCTCCATTGCTGAAGGACTGAATGACTAACAATTGTAGTGCAATTACTCTGATGGTCAGCATACAGCAAAGACAGTCAAGTAATTATAATTATAATAGCTGCTACTATAAATCATAACTGAGAATATGATGAATTGACTTCAGCAGTAATATAGCTGTAATAAGAACTGGCCCTCAGGGCATAGGAGTCTGTTTTATTTTTACAGCTGTCTCTGAGCAATGTTTGCACATTATGTCTGCCTCTCTGGAAGGCTCAACAAGAAGGATATCTTTGATTAACATTGTTGTTCCCAGTTTCAGGTGGGGTTTCCTCAGCTCTAGAGGCATATCATGTTAGTGGGGAATGAAGAATCTGGCAGACAATTTAGGCCATGTCCACACAGATTGAAAAACCCGGCTTATCATTACAGCTTCCAGATCCATAAGGAGGACAAGCTGCATGCACAATCAGCATCCGTAATGGGCTGATACCAGCAGCACAGTCCTCACACTCCCCAAGATACCTGTCTCCCTCTTTTCCCACACCTTGTTGTGAAAATAGCTATTCTATTGTGCATTATCAGTACATGGT